ACAAAATTATAATGCAAACACGTCAATGATTATTGTGGATTTATGTTTCCGCTGTTTTAATGCACGTAAGGTAACTTATGTAATTCTTTTTAGACAGGCCCCATTAAGTAGGACAAATTAACAGACAGGCCCCATTAAGGAGGACAAATTAACAGAGGCCCCATTAAGTAGGACAAATTAACAGAGAGCCCCATTAAGAAGGACAAATTAACGTCCTGATTGAGCCGGCGCAGGACGGAGGACAGTGCTCAAAAACAGAACTGTCCTGCCTAAAGCCAGCCTAGATAAATCATTTGGGAAATGGGAGGCAATCAGGTTCGTTTCTTTTTAATTGGAAGCACTAAATTCGTAGGGGTCATAAAGCCCCTGGGAATGGGTGGCAGTCAGGTTCGATTCAGGAAAGGGCAGAATAGGACCAATCAGATCATGATCCCTTCACCTGCGTGAGGGCTCCTCGTTAGCCGGATTATTTACTGGTGATCCTCGTATGATCAGTAACTGGAAGAGATGAGAGTGACAGAGGAGGCTTACCCAGACAACTTATACTCTCACCGAAGCTGTCTGATTAGGAGTTCTGTCTACTTTTCCTGTGTTAAGAACTAATCTAGGTGTATGATTGAAGGATAGCAAAAGAGAAAGATTTACTCCGATCCTCCGGTCAGTGCTGGCATGAAAATAGTTCAACAAATGTGTCATTCTATTTTGGTAGAAAAAAAAAAAACAAGCACATAATTTGCAGGAGAGGTGGAAATGGATGGGAGACACAGACCACTACTACTTCTACCAAATTAATTATTATTTCTTTCTTAAACTGCTCGTATTATTCCACTGCCACTCACAGAGTAGTGTGTACCAGTCGATCTGCTTCTGGTTACCACCAGCACTATCATGATTCTGACAAACCTTTTCTTCTATCACTGCTCGTAATATTGACTCTGTTGTCTCGTTGCCAACTGATCGTCAAGGAGCAGATGCTGAGCAAACATCAGGAATCTTCTGACGTCAGAATTCCCACATCTGTTGAAAATTTATAAGGGTTTTCGTGGTTTTGGTGAGGTTTTGGTGAGTTGCGTGAGGCAGTGAGTGCACTAGGCAACATCTCGCTCCTTTCATCCTTCCCTATACTCTGTACTTTGTTTATCATCAAACCTTATTGTCTTGTTTATGACACATTTGGGGTGGCCCAGTAATTTTGACTGATAGATTTTACTGAGAATGTAAGTTCTGAAGACTGTGTTAGTGTTCGTGCATTGATGTGTCAGGACAATCTATCTTGTCTGTTCTGCAAAGGTTAAAGCGTAGTAGCATAATATGGTAGGTTGCAGACCAATGGGAGACAATAGCACGGCTAAGAGCAGAAACTTTATTGAGGGTACTATGAAACCAGGCCCACTGGGTGAGAGAATGGCCAGAGGCAGGTCAAGGAAGAGAGAGGTGTGAGGAGATTGAAACTCAGCAGGTCACTTAGGGGCGACTCAGGGAAGCGTATTCTGAGCTGCGGTCAGCAAGGGATGTCACACTCCCCAGATTCACGGAACTCTTGGCTTAGTGGAAGGTGTGAAATACTCCCGAGAACAAACTTACAGCTTTGGCAAAGTGCTTGTCCAGGTGGTTCTTGAATGACTGTGTCGCTATCGAGCTTACAACATGAGCGGGTGGTTGATTTTATTCCCTGTTTGCAAAAATATTTATTTACGTTCTTGTAGCATCTCTTGTCTAGCAATTTTATTCCACTGTTTCGAGCCATAAGCTCGTTCAGCACCTCACTGTACTGTGAGTATTGAGTCCTCCGTCATAAAGTTTTCTTTTATTGAGTGAAGGAAAGACTTTGGTATCTTTTCTCTGTAATCGCTGTTTATTCCTTATTTTTCTCCTATAGTCGTTGTTTATTCCTTATTTTTCTCCTGTAGTCGATGTGTATTCCTTATTTTTTCTCCTGTAGCCGTTGTTTATTCCTTATTTTTTCTCCTGCAGTTGTTGTTTATTCTTTTTTTTTTTTCTCCTGCACAACTATATTCGATTTCACTAAAAATTATTCATGATTTTTTTTTTGGTGGGAGGAAAGATGGCTATTTAACCATTTCAATTTTTTATACTTATCATTTCATAGAAAAAACGTTTTTCTTGCTGAAGATAAGCTATACCGGCGTCGTAAGTTGGAAATTCCCTCAAAGACTTTCTGGGCCTTAAGATTAATATAAAAGTGCCAGGAAAAATAAATGGTCCTGCCTCTTGTAACTGACAGCAAAGAGCGCCTGGATTGCTCTGTGAGTAACGATAATAATGATTAACTGGGTGAGAACATAATAACGCCCATTCTCGTATCAAGAGACATTCTTGTGTAGATTTCATTGTTTAAGTATAATAAACACATCATACTGGTGTACATGACTCACGAAATCGTAATGACACGATTGCAAACAAACCATACCACGGGCGGGGATAGAACCCGCGATCAGAGTCACAACTAGGTATATATACCTAGTTCGACGAATTTTGTTGTAGCCAGTTGGCTCAGTGGCTAGCGTGTCGGTCTGGAGTTTTTGTGACTGATCGTGGGTTCTCTCCCCGCCCGTGGTATGGTTTTATCTTACTGGTCTACATCTTACAGCTATTTGTCAGGAAATTTTTTTTCGTGTAATATACGGCTTTACATGTGTAACTTAATCTAACTTCACTTGCAGTAACCTAATTTAGCCACACATAAAGTTGTTCTGAGTATTTGAGTGTGTGTGTGTGTGGTGTGTGTGTGTGTGTGTGTGTGTGTGTGTGTGTGTGTGTGTGTGTGTGTGTGTGTGTGTGTGTGTGTGTGTGTGTGTGTGTGTGTGTGTGTGTGTGTGTTTTAACAAACCGGAAGTCTCCCAAAAACGAAGGAACACTTTCACCATCACTCTCTTCATCACTATTTTGACAGAGAGGCGCCGCTACTACAGTTCAAAACTGAGTGCAGACACTGTACTTCCCACCTCCAGGACTCAAGTCCGGCTAACCAGTTTCCCCGAATACCGTCAAAAATGTTACCTGCTTACACTCCAACAACGCGTCAAACCATAAAAACTATTCGTCTCCGCTGATGGATGTGGAGGTTTCACACCTATAGTTGCGGATACAAGAAGACAATTTGGAAAGCAAGCATTACTGTCTCGTTCAAGGTTGTGCTTTGCAAAGAGCTTCCTCTGCACATTGTGTCTTAAGGCACTAGGACGTTCTTCATGGCCACTTGACAGTAATAAGGTAGCTCCTGACTCAAATGGTAATGCCTTAGGTTCCTAGATGAAGGAGCCAGGTTCGATCCCAGGACGAGTTTAAACATTTGGCATATTTCCTTAACGCGTATTGTCCCTGTTCCCCCTAGTAGTAAATAGGTATTTGAGAGTTGTGCTACTGTTCTGGGAGCTCATTCAAGGGAAGAAGTGTTATTATAATTTAAAGAAAGGTCGGACTTTAAAATGAGCTGCGGTAAGTTAACAGCTCCTGGCCTGTAAATTTAATAAAAAAATATTTTCGTAATACGTTTAGTAAGTAGTATTTTTGACAAAATAGAGTATCACGATTGTTATTATTACATAAAAGATGCGCCAAACCCGCGTGGGTTATACAGCGAATATAACAACATAGTCTCGGAGTTTGAATAATTTCAGACTCACATAGTTACGCTACACAAACATACTGATTAAAACTGTATTAGTACCGTACAGTTGTAAACATATAAGCTTGTGATATTTTATTTTTACGAAGTGGACAGGGAAAGTTTGCATTAGGCTTCACAATGATCATCATATGACAAAGAGAAACGATATTCCTTGTGAACAAACTCCCTCTCCTCTTTCTGTAGGAAACCAGTCAACAAACGTTTCAAGAATCCTGGAAAATAAACCCCGATGTAAGGTAGCAACAGTCACCCCGAGCTGCGAGATGTTTGATTGTTAAAAATAATCCCACATACTAAACCTGTGGGCGGTAGTCATACGATTGCACACGCAGATACTGGGTCCAGGAACACGACCCTATATTTCTGAGAGCTACGCAAATTACGGTAGTACTGAGCTGTTGACAAATTTAGAAATCCTAACACTAGGAATGTGTTATTTACACAGTCATCAAATCATTCACTAAAACATTACATGATAGCATATGTGTGTGGTTATGTGTTGTTTACAGTCCCCGATATTTAGCAAATATTGGTTGAATTTTTTAAATTATTATTATTATAATCAAGGGGGAAGCGCTAAACCCGGAGGATTATACTGCGCCTGGGGGGGGGGATGTGGAAGGCATTCAGGCTTAATTTGGGGAACTGGAGCACAGATCCAATTCCCTAAATCAAGAGCCCCTCACCAACATCAAGGAACCTTCCTTGAGGGGATTTTTTTTTTTTTTAAGAAATTAAAGGGGTAATGATCAATTTATCAAAGGCAAAGTCAAGGCATTTTTCTATGATTATTATTAATATGACACTGAATCTAAAATGCTTTTATTATTTTTTCTTAAAGATTTGTATTTCGTTGTTAGTTAATTATACAAAAATATAGGTGAATATTTTTGAACTTAAATAAACAGAGTCTAACATAGCCAAGAATTTTAAATTTTAATAATCACTGGAACCATAGATCGCGTAGAAAAGTACGTACGGTAAATTAGGAAACAGTGTACGCTCTAAATAGACAGCAGTTAACTTAATGACGCTTTACTGCAGTGGAAACTGATTTTAATGACTAGGATCCGTCCACGCCCATTGTAGTTAATAAAGGTACCAAGTGCATATTAGATTGTCCACCTTCTCATACCATTCCAGCTACAAAAGATTGCTATAGGACGTCACACTGTCAAAATTCTAAATGCTTACCTATCAGGAGCATATCAATTAGGAAGCTTTTATTTCTTTACTGTTTTTAAGTTGATATACAGTCGTGAACCTTCAACTGTATGGACGATGGTGTGATCTTCAGCACTCCACACCTAACATGTTACTACCAGTTTTCCTGTTGGTGTCGTTGCAGGTTCAGTCAGGTGAGAGACTCTGGCGAGTACCAGTGCCAAGTGAACACCGACCCCAGGATCTCCATGATGTTCTACCTTAATGTACAAGGTTAGTTGCTTGTGTATGTGTGTGTGTACTCAACTATTTGTGGTTGAAGGGATCGAGCCGTAGCTCCTGGTGTGTGTGTATTTGTGAGTACCGTATTTTCCAGCATATAAGGCGTGTCTTTTATCCCCACAAAATGTTCTTGAAAATCACCATCGGTCTTATATGCTCAAGGTCAGGGTTGGCTTTGGGTTCTGCTTTCCTACAAAATAATGTCTCTCTTTATTGTCCATTTCATCGTTTTCTTTTTCGTTTTCTACTTACATTCTCTACTACTTCAGCAGTTCCTTCTCCTGAATGGCTTCTAAATTTCATCGCCATTGTTTTATTATGGCGCGTATCGTTTCTAACTGCTACTAACAGCACTAGTAAATAACTGAAGGCACAATACACAAATAACCCGCATATAGGAGAGAGTTTACTACAACGTTTCAGTCTGACTTGGACCATTTACAAAACGTCGTCCTAAATTCCTCTCTCCTATGTGCAGGTTGTGTATAGCACTAGTAATTTACAATATTTCTCAGGTGAAAATGACTCAAAGAGCCACTTCCTTTTGGTTAGGAGTGTGACGTAAGTAAGGTTGGCTAGGCAGGTTCTTATATTCCATGAGATCAAATTACTGGTCAGTAGTTAGAGTTTTCGGGTGTAGACTTGGGATAAGAAAAATATTGTAAATTACTTGGTTCTCTGCTGTCCATCCTTACTTGGATTCCTTTATAAGAGTCGTGTTGATAACTACACTTCACATAGATAACTACCCTTTGCTCTATTGATCAAATTTCATGTTTTCTGGAAAATATTTAAATTTGTTGCAACTCGATTTTTTCAGACTTTTTATTTTGTGACATACAAGTGTCGTGCCTCTCTGGACCTCTAGCATGTGAATGCGATACTCGTTTTTTTTTTTTTTTTTTTTCATATATTTTTGTTTGTTTTTAATCAATTTCTGGTTCACGGGTTGCTCTTGTGTTCCTGTGGTCCACTGCATAAGCTGGCGAGTGTATCATGGGGTAACTTCAGGCATGTGTACATGCTGATTTGTTTCGGTGGTGGTTGAGTTTCAGCTCATGAAGCTTTCTTTTTAGTTATGACAGCCGATATTACAGATTTTGGCCTCAATGTATATATCATAGATACTATTAAAACTGTGCAGTAAATCTGTCTCTACTACTTCTTCATGTAACTATTTTCACTTTTAAATCATCTGCAGAAAAAAAAGTACTTCCTAACATTATTAACTTTAATTCGTGTTGCCTATGAAGTCATCAGACTCATTATGTATTCCCGAAGGAGGACCTTTACGTGGGTGCTCCTTTTTTTATATTTTCTTCCTACAACTTTTCAGTTTTATTTTGCTCATATCTCGAGAACGCATCAGCGAACTTACTTCAAATGGTCTCCAGGGAAAAATTTCCTGGAACAGTTGGCGTGTTTCGCGTGGCCTATGAACAAAGATGTTGACCCCTTTTCCAGCATCCTGGAAGCGTTCGGATAACTTCCAAAACTCTCACGGCGGAGCTTCAAGCGTTCAAAACAGGTGCCAAAAATGCGACACAGACGGAGTGTGAAATTCAAATATGTTGATGCAGATTTGGCGTTTTTATGTATAAAATAATGTTAAATTTTTACTCCCGTTAAATCACGCTAAATAAATTCCAGTTTACCTCTTCTGATCGGCTTCAATATTTAATGGCTGGTATATCTTAGGCCAAGATAATACTTATTAAGTTTTTTTTTTTTTTTGCGTGCAGACAAATTTGTTGACATAGTAAAACATTAAATAAATTTACATTCCTTGGGATCCATTCCATATCTGAAGAATGACTTATCTGATCGGCTTCGAATTTTCACCATTATTGTGGTTTCCCTGGATGGCCGCCATAAGGTTCACTCTTTCATTATACTGTGTATATATCCTGCCTCTACCACATCGTTCTTTAGGTCGTTCTACTTCCTGACCATTCTTTGGTTAAAGAAGTATTTCCTAACAGTCCCGTGACTGATCTGTGTTTAACTTCCAGCTGTGTACTTGTGTACCTGAGATCTCCCTCTCAAACAAATTCACCCTGTAAACTCCGTTAATTTCTCTCAATACTTCGTAATCATGTCTCTCTTAATCCTTATATCCTCTAATGTCAGATTTAACTCCTCTAGTCTCTCCTAATAGCTCATTTCCCTCAGCTCTGGAATTAGTCTTGTTGCAAACCTTTGCACTTTTCCAGCAACCTTACATGCTATATCAGATGCGAGTTCCGTATTGCCCATGCATACTCCAAGATGGGGTTGATATATGCCATGTACAGTACACTAAACACTTCCTTGTTGAGATTGTTGGAAGCTACCCTTAGATTTGCCAGTCTCTCGTTTGCTGCGGCGGTGATTCAATTGATACCTGCTTCTGGAGAAATGATCTGATCTATGCTCGGCCCAATGTCCTCCAGTTTCAGAGAAGCTTGTAAGTATTCTTTGTCTGTATGTCTGTCTCCTCTCACTCTCTCTCTCTTTCTCTTCTTATTTCTCCTCGTGTTCTGAATGAATATTTTTATCTGTTACCTACCATGTGTTTCCTACCATCACTTTCCTCTGCTACTGCATTTAAAACAATCATATCTTTGTGGTTCCAGCATCTGCAGGATGGCTTCCTTTTTTTCTCTTCCTCAACTATTTTCTATCTTTCTAACCCTACCTTCTTCCCTACCCTCCGTAATTACAATTGAATGTGGCAAGTTGGCTGGCACATAGTGGGTCTCCATATTAGTTTTCTTTGATGTCAAACTCGTTTATGGTATTAACTAGGTCAGGTCCTGTGGATTCATTCTTTCATTTTTGTTGTTGCCTTAACATGCTGACACACACACACACACACACACACACACACACACACTGTACACCGTGTATGTCAGGCCCATACTGGAGTATGCAGCACCTGTTTGGAACCCGCACTTGATAAAGCACGTCAAGAAACTAGAGAAAGTACAAAGGTTTGCAACAAGGTTAGTTCCAGAGCTAAGGGGAATGTCCTATGAAGAAAGATTAAGGGAAATCGGCCTGACGACAGGACAGGAGGGTCAGGGGAGACATGATAACGACATGTAAAATACTGCGTGGAATAGACAAGGTGGACAAGGACAGGATGTTCCAGGGAGGGGACACAGAAACAAGAGGCCACAATTGGAAGTTGAAGACACAAATGAGTCAGAGAGATAGTAGGAAGTATTTCTTCAGTCATAGAGTTGTAAGGCAGTGGAATAGCCTAGAAAATGACGTAGTGGAGGCAGGAACCATACACAGTTTTAAGACGAGGTTTGATAAAGCTCATGGAGCGGGGAGAGAGAGGGCCTAGTAGCAACCGGTGAAGAGGCGGGGCCAGGAGCTAGGACTCGACCCCTGCAACCACAAATAGGTGAGTACAAATAGGTGAGTACACAACTACTACATCCGTTAGTTTTTTCTCTGTGATATTTATTCACATACAGTATCAGCTTCCCTTTGGCTCAAAATCACCTATAACCAGTTAATTTCCTTAAATTATTCTTGTTTTTCATTGCTTTTTTTTTACAGTGTGTATTGTTGTCATCACGCTCTTTTCTCTGCATTCTATTATTTACTTCTGCTAATGTTACTCTTAGCCTGCAAATCATTAATGTAATTACATAACAGTCTTGAAAATCCGGGTCACCACCTGGAGAAGAGTCGGGCCGGGACAGCAACGAAGAACGTACAAATCTACGAAAGCTCTAGTTTCCCACTTCAAATCTCCAAATATTTTCTAAATACCAGTACCACCTCTGTGCTTTGTCTTTCTTTACTCTAACACTCAAGTGGAAAGATCACATTGGTATTTATTCCTCAAAGTTTTATTCCTGTAAAAGCGTGAGAGGGAGGTTCGTGAAGTTAGGTACATGAGAGGGAGGTTCGTGGAGTCTAGGTACATGAGAGGGAGGTTCGTGAAGCCTAGGTACCTGAGAGGGAGGCTCGTGAAGCCTAGGTACATGAGAGTGAGGTTCGTGAAGCTTAGGTACAGGAGAGGGAGGTTCGTGGAGCCTAGGTACATGAGAGGGAGGTTCGTGAAGCCTGGGTACATGAGAGTGAGGTTCGTGAAGCTTAGGTACATGAGAGGGAGGTTCGTGAAGCCTAGGTACATGAGAGGGAGGCTCGTGAAGCCTAGGTACATGAGAGGGAGGGTGGTGGAGCCAAGGAAGTTGGTAGAGTCAGGGTTGAAGAGAGTATAGTTGGTGGTGGAACCAAGGTTCGAGAGAGGGAGGTTGGAGAAGATAGAGCGCAAGACAGGAAGATTGGCAGGGCTACCGTGGAAGGAAGATAGTCAGCTGGACCCTAGTTGCAGGAGAGAAAGGTTGATGAAGTCTGAAAAGGGGAAGGTTGGTCGGGCGAGAAAAGGACGTATGTGATGCCATGGTGGAAGAAAGTTAGTGAAGCATGGGTGCAAAAGACTGAAGCTTGTGGAGCCAGGGTGCATGAGAGGGAAGTGCATGGAAGGGCAGCCTGTTAGAGGAAAAGTCTAAAATATGGGTGAGAAAGAGTTATTGCCATAGCTATTGTTCGATCCAGCAATTATATCTGAGTCAGCAGTCATCGTTTTCAACTATTATTTGTTTATGTTAAGAAGAACATAAACACTGCTCCTCTCAAGTTGAAGCATAATAAACATTAAAGGAATTCCGAAATTCGAAGAAAAGTGAAGAAAGAAAAGCATAAAACTGTGTTATATCCATCACCCCCACACGTAAACAAAAAATATATATAAAAAAAACCTGTCCATTGTCAGAGCAACCTTTATTTAGTAGACGTTTCCCTTACCAGGAACTGCTTTAATCCAATAAAAAATAAATTAGATCAGAGAATATATACTCGATGGACTATCACACACACACACACATATATGTGTGTGTGTGTGTGTGTGTGTACTCACCTATACGTGGTTGCAGGGGTCGAGTCATAGCTCCTGGCCCCGCCTCTTCACTGGTCGATACTAATTCACT